ATTTTTCTCGCGCACTTTATTTTTATTATTTTTACCATATTATTGTAACTGCTCACAAGGTTGTAATAGTTAATTAGGACTTTCTATTTCCGTTTACCGCTTTACTTTTCAAGGGTTTGTTTTGGCTATGTAAATACCCGAAGCCTTGTAATAGCGTAGTTTAATTTCCGTATTTTAAATTCCGCAAATATTTAACTATTAGATGTATGATATTAGGATGCATGACAAGAATGTATGATTAATTTTAAAATAGTTAGATAACCCTAAAATGTGCAAAGATAATAAATCTGAAACTGAATCACTCGCACATGCACACTCCTAGGGTACACTTCCACTTGGTTGCCTTTGGTAAACGGTCATTGAGTATAGGATGCTTTAGTGGTCGTCCTTTTGTCCAAAGATCAAAAGTTGCCTCAGAAAGGTTGCCTCAGATATTGTTGCCTCGGATAATTGATCTAAGATATTAGGGTTATTACTAAGACGTCCTAACATTGCTTTAATGATTGTACGTCCCTTTCGAATTGACCCTCAAAACTCCAACGACGGTGCTACCTACTCACTAATAGTGGGATAACACTGTCTAAAGGAAACAAACATAGAACGATTCTTTTTTCGAGTAGGTAGATTAGTTCTTAAGTACTTGCTCAATCAAAACAAACTTTTTTCACACTTACACTCCTTTACAAACAAGTTTTCAAAAACACTTCATCACACTCTTGAAGACAGAAGCAAGAGTTAAATCGAAGTTAAAACAAAAACTTTTCAAAGTCAACAAACACAAAGAAAACAATTTTTAAAATGATGAGCAAGTACCTAAGAGTCCGTAGATAACTACGGATAGAAAGGGTGCTAATACCCTCCCTTTCTATAATCTATCCCCCGTACTCAGAAATATCTCGAAAAATGAATTTTTCTGTGCTTTTTTCCTTTCCTTGTTGGATAAAATAAAAGTCGATAGAGACTCTTGCTTACCGCAACATTTTGCTAACACAAACGCAAAACGCAAACCAGTAATTCCTTAAAAAAAGGGGAAACACGTCCCGGTTCTGGCCACCGTATCACATGGTCAATCCAATATAAATATTACTACCAATATTCATACCTATGTCAAGACTTGATAACTTCTTATCCATGATCCATGAGGTGTGATCATCAGTCTATCTTCATAATAGTCTCAATACTTTAATGTTATCCCACTTTTCAATAAAGCCCGACTACAAATATTTTAAGAATAATATTCTTATGCTTAATGGAATCTCATGATTAAGTCACACTTAATATTTCATTAAACAAACAAACTATTCTAGGGACTCTATAATTTTGGAACAACAAACATAATAAAGAAATGCCTTTTATTATTAACAAATAATTTAATACAAGTAGCCAAAGTATCAACCTATAGGACTTACACCAACACCTGCAATATTTTCTCTTGTCGGTTCCCGGTTTGTACGGTGTTTGTCGGGAGAAGCACACCCCGCCTTGCTTAAATTCAGAATTGGCGCATTCTGAAAGAATATGCTCCCTTGAGGTTGTCAGAGGGGTGTAGTAGTGGAAATGACTGGCTGGCCCCTTGTAGTCCTTGGAATCGCGGGGATTGTCTTCCCGCTTCTTGTCTCCCTGACGGGATGTCGGGGGCTCGTCGTTCTTCGAGGACTTGGCACTCTCTCTGTGACTTAATTCTCTGGCGCTGTTGGCTGCTTCCTTCTCCTCGTACTGTATGTACGCTTAGGCCTTGAGAAGGAGGGAGTCGAGTGTGGGACGTCTCAATGCCTACAACTTTGGCAAAGTCACTGCAGGGACAGAGCCCATGCTCGAGGAGATACTTCTTCATGTTGTCGGTCGTTAAGACCTGGACTGCTTCCTTATTTAAGCGTTTAATATACGCCCGCAGAGACTCGTCTCTACCCTGGATGATTGCTTTGAGCGAAGCCTCTAATTTCGGGTGTCGACGGGAAGCGGTCCGAGTTGCTTCCATGAGGTGATGGATTCATCAGGGAGGCTCTTGTACCACGACATCACCCTTTTCCTTAGAGTGGGTGGGAAGAGTCTGCATTTGATGGCCCCTCTGACTCCTCGGTAGTCGAGGAAGGCGTCAATGTTCTCGATGTGCTCGTCAGAGTCTGTTGTTCCATAATAGGTTCCCAATGGAGGTGGATTCTCTAGGCCGACAGGGAGTGAGGCCTATATAATTTCTCTCGATAGCGGGCCACAGGGCTCGTCATCCCCACTATCCGCGGGAGATGGAAAAGGGGAGTGATAGTTTCTTCCCCGTCAATCGTCACGGTATCATCGGAGGGAGGGGCCCCTCCGTCTCTGCTTTGGTTTGTGCGAAGGCAATTAAGCGCGGTCAATTTTATGACTGTCTTTCCTCTTCTTGAATGAAGGGAGTCTTTATCTCTCACAAGAGGTGTGCGGTTTCATTTATTGAAGAAAGAAATGTTACACCTCTCCTTTCTTGGTGGTAGGCCACACCTGGGTGGTGATATACTGGGGGAGTTTCACCGTCATGTTCTCCGAGAAAGAGATCTTGATCGCATGTTTTCCTAGGCCCCCATCCTTTGACTCTATTGTAGGATGAGGGTGTTAGTCTGATTGATAGCAGCGAGTAGCATTGCATGGCCGGATCGGAATTGAGAGAGATGGGAACTAGTTGCATGACTTCTGGAAGTTCCTCAGTGGGGTTCTTGGGGCGTCCCTTGTCCAAGAATTGGTCGTCGCTGCGTCGGGCGTCAGTTGAGTCTAGAGATGCAGTCTGTCCGTCTCGAAAACCCAGGTTGCCCTCAAGGTGAGGATGTTCCTGACTTTCATCAGTTTTGTGAGCAGGGGAAAAAATAGTCTTTCCAGGCAGATGTAGATCATCGTGGTCGGACATGATTAGCAAGAGGAATCTTGAAAAGTTACTTTGATCTTTAAGTTTCGAGGAAAGAAAGACGGGGAGAGCAGCTTCCCACAGATGGCGCCACTGATCTTACCGATTGACCAGAATCTATGAAGTGACCGGAAGATGATCTATAGTCGGGCTGTGATGTCGAGGAGGAAAAAAAGGGGTTGTACCTACAAGGTACTCCGACGATTACATAAGAGTGGAAACGAGGAGATACAAGCAAAGTGTTAAGGTATTGGTGGTGAATATTGAATATTCAATACCTGACCCTCACAGGTGTGAGGGTTTATATAATTCCCCTGGCGCATGGCCATTTGTTCATGATTTCACGCCTGGATATGTGGGTTCGTAAAATCAGGTAACTGCCAGGACATGGTCAAACCGGGCAGATGTGCCCGTAACTAGCCGTTGGTTCCAAGGAGGGGGTCGGTTATGGGTATCTCTTTGGTCGACTCCTGGTGGCCTGTACGAAGTTGACGTCAAGCAGGCTGAGAGGATGCTCGTCGATCATCCTAGGCCAGTGCTGGCTTGGGTGAGCAAATGGTTGACATTGCCCGATGGATAGCGGGCGGTTCGGGTCATGGACGTGTGGGTCGTACCAAAGGAAATGTCTAGACTGGACCCATTCAAGCAGTCGGGCCAGTCCAGAACAGTAATAAAATCATATTTAAAGTTTCAAAATATTGAATGCACGCGTTTCAAGAGAATATTTATACAAATAACGTATTAACTTGTGCCTTGGAGCACATGTTAGCTTTTTCCTTTCATTAATATCTTTCATGGAGTGGACCTAATACATGTTTACAATTTTCAAAATAGTTGTAAGTCGTCAAATTGATCTGCATCTCTAAATACTGGTGATGTTGTTCCTAAATATATTATAATCTGTTGTTGTTGGTGAAACAATTGTGATTATATTTGGGAACAATGTTGCAATTTTGAATGGTGCATATAAGGTGTTTGAAGAAATGCCTGTTAGAACTTCGTTGCTAAAAGTTTATAGGTTTATTTAGATTTTTGCCAAGCTATCTTTCAAGTGGCGCGCCACGTCAACTTCCGTTAATGAAAGTTGACGGTATGGATCAAAATTATGGATGAAAAACTTTATGAGGACCATTGTTTGAAGAAAAATTTTAAGAGGACTAAAAACGAAAATTGAGATATTTATAAGGACCACAATCATATTTAACCATAATAATAATAATAATAATAATAATAATAATAATAATAAAATTGTTCATATTTATTTAAATAGGCCGACCTGATAGACTTAAAAGGTTTTTTTTTGCGGTCTATGATATAATATTTTTAACTAAATAGATTTATAAAAACTTAGGTCTTTTCTATTTAAAAAAAAAGAGAGTTTCTTAGTGCACTCTATACATTATTAGGACACCTCATGAAAATACTATAATGTCCATAAATTTCAGAGATATATCTCCGGACACACCAAACGTATACAACGAAGGATATTCAGAGATATATCTTCTACTTCGACCTAACTTATTTTCACCTCTACTGATCCATAGAAATTTTAAACGCATATAACACAATTTTAAAATAAATCATATTAAAAAAACGATTTAAATTAAATTTATAATCTAATTATATTGGATAAAAATATTTTTGTTTTATATTTCCAATTTTTTGCTCATTTTTGTTATATTTAAAGTAGAGATTAATTATTATGCATTGTCAGTGTAAATTTCTTTACACATTCACTACATTACAACTATTCAAAGATATTTACTTTATAAATAATTAGAATAAAATTCAAATGTTATTAAAATTTTAACGGTCACTATAAAATTTCTTTACATTATCGATAAATTTTAATTAAATTCTTTAAAGTATTTGTTATATCAAATTTATTAAAACTTAATTATTTAACATTATTTAATTTTACAATTGTAAAAGAAAATCAGTGTTTGGCCCATAAAATTACCTATAAACTCATTAATGGTAAAATAGTCAATCTACCCAAATGAGCACATTATATAAAGTCTACACTCACAAACCCTAAAAATTCTTTCGCGTTCTCAAGTGGCCACAGTGATACACAGCCTCGCCGGCAACCATCCCTCTTCAACAAATCCTCCCCGGCTAGGCGAAAATGGTACGTTTCCGATCTCGATTTCATCTTTCGCCGCCCGTATTTTCTATATAAGCACTGATTTTGTAGTTTTTTTTGTTATGTGTGACATAGTCATTGGTGGCGAACGAAGAGTTCCAGCACATCCTGCGTGTGCTGAACACCAACGTCGATGGAAAGCAGAAGATAATGTTTGCAATGACCTCCATCAAGGGTATTGGAAGGCGATTTTCTAACATTTGCTGTAAGAAAGCTGATATTGACATGAACAAGAGGTTTGTAGTTTAGTTCTATCTATTGCTTGTTGTTGTTGATGATAAATGAGTGATTTTTTTTTGTTATTGGGATATTTAGGGCCGGTGAGTTGAGTGCTGCAGAGTTGGATAATTTGATGACAGTGGTTGCCAACCCTCGTCAATTCAAGATACCTGATTGGTTCTTGAATAGGAAGAAGGATTACAAAGATGGCAAATTCTCTCAAGTTGTCTCCAATGGACTCGACATGAAGTTGAGGGACGATTTGGAGAGACTCAAGAAAATCAGGTATGTACTCAGAGCAATACCTCTCAATCAAATGTTGCTTCATTTATTATTGATTTCATTTGAGTTTTATGAAATATGGGGAAAATGTGTTTGTTTGCCTTTATTTTCTAGTACATATTTTCCTATACTAGACTTGATATTTATCTTAATTTTTAGGGTATGTTTAAATTAGCATTTTAACAGCAATTTCTAGGAATAATGAAGTTGAGCTTTGTATAAGCAAATTGTTTAGGCAACATAAACTTGGCCATAATGTTTGTTTGTTGGTTCCTATCGAATGACTTGTAGTATATGGTTTTCTCTTGGATAGATAGTCTCAAGGTGGTAGTGCAAGTAATGAATATATAGCTATTTCAGTGTTGTGCACTACTTAGTCTTGAGATTATTTCACAGTCTTGTGCACTACTTAGTTATATTAATTTTGACTATGTATCTCATGCAAATACTATTGCATTGTTACTCTTCAAATTTTTGTAGCTGATATCATATTGAAGGATCTATGTGGAGAAATAGGGTGTTGGTTGGTTAATAAAATTTTAGCTGTTGTGGTAACTCCTAAAGACTTGCATCCTTTTTAATATGCAGAAACCACCGTGGTTTGAGGCATTACTGGGGCCTTCGTGTTCGTGGTCAACATACCAAGACTACTGGACGTAGGGGAAAGACTGTTGGTGTCTCAAAGAAGCGATAAACTTTTTTGTTTTGATTTGGAGATTAGATATTTTGAGGAGGTATATTTTAAGCGCATCAGACATGATTTATTTATTGATTTTGTATGGTTTTTGAATGAATACTGTGACAATATCAATTTTCTTTGGTTTGCGTTGAAGTGCCTGATTAGTTTAGTTGTGTTGGTATTTTTTTGATGTATCCCTCGGCATGAAATTATGTATTCACGTTAGTTCTAAAATGAGAATATGCTACTTTTCAAATAATATTAGTATTTAACATAATGATAGCTTGTTGGCAAGAACAAGTAACATTCAATTAAAGATGCAATCTGCAAGACTCGGGTGGTTTTTGATTTGGGTTTATATGATATTACTATTTTAACAGTGTTTGGGTTCATGGTTGAGTCACAAGAGCTAGGGATATTGGTACACATTGATACTAAACTAGTATATAATGTGCGCGTTGTGCGGTTGTCCTACAACATATTATCATCATTGCTATGAAAATTTAAATTTCTATCAAAATTTTAGATTATTGTTTTGTTTGTGGATATTTTTTAAATGATTTTACTTGAGTAATTATTATATGTAGTTTTATGAACACATTTGAGAAAAAGTTGATTTTTAAGAATATTATAGGGGATCAATTGAATTTTAAGAATATTAGAGGATCCATTGATTATGTTCATAGGATATTTTTTTTCTAATGAGTTTATTTGAATAGTTATTATGAGTTTATTATAATATTAGAAAATATGTTGAATTTTGAGTAATAAAAAAGATTGATGTAATTTTAAGTAATATAGGAATTATATTAAATTTTATCAATTTGTTTGTATCTTAAAAATTTAATGATTTTAATGAACAAATAATATATAAAACATCATTTTGATTGGTTGTCATTTAAATGGTTAAAATTTTTATGACAATATAATAATCATCTATTATAGATTTAGGATTTAGATTGATAGATAATTAGTTAATAGTGAGAAATTGAGACTCAATTTTTTATGTTAAGTTTTTATTGATAAAATTTTTGTTGATAGATATTGCTAATATATTAAAGGAAAATGTTTATTAGTAAAAAAGTCTGAAAGTAAGAATGATAAGAATTAAATTTTAATAATTTATTATTTCTACTATCCCGTAATTCTTAGTATAAAGTAAATTAATTTAAAATGAATTTAAAATTATTTTCTAAAGTAATGATAAATATACATTTTTGTTTTTTTATTCAAATAATTCTTACTATATAACATTATTCTTTATTAAAATGGAGTTTCAATTTTTTAGAGTTACAATTTAGATTGATAAAATAAGCATAAATAATGAGAAATAGATTTTAATATTTCTAATAAGTCATTAATAGTTGAATAGGAATGCATATTAAAAAGAAATAAAAAAAACAAAACTTTTTAATAACTAAAATGAAAATTAAATATTGTCAATATGTATTAATAATGTAAAATGTTTTGTTAGAAATAGTTTGTCTAAATGAATAAGATATTTTTTATAAAGAATAACAACATCAACTATTCCATATTGTTAAATCATAAAAACATTTTATATCTGGACAAAAATATGTGTATTATAGTTCTATAAATTTGACGATCTACTTGATTACAAAAATCTTATATTTTAATATCCATTCTAAGGTTGATATTGTAGAGGCCGATAAACTTTTAAATTAGAATTTATATTCAAAAGAAGGCATAAGTAATAACATTATAGAATTGTGAAGAAAGAGAAAGGAAATTAAACAAAAATAAATACAAAAATAAAAATATCTTAACATAAAAATGTATTATAATTTAAAATTTAGATGCTTTAAATTATTATAAGGGGTGTTTGTTTTAAGGATTTATAAAAGATTCTCAGAAATAAGTTATTCGAAAATAAAAATAGGAGGATTTAATTTCAAGGTATTTTTTAAAAATTATGTATGACATATAATTTGAAATTCCTTAAAAAAATGAATATATATATATATATATATATATATATATATATATATATATATATATATATATATATATATATATATATATATATATATATATATATATATATATATATATATATATATATATATATATATATATATATATATATATATATATATATATATATATATATTATGTGAAGGCAAGAATAAACATGCCTGTTAAATTGTAATCTAGTGTGTCGAAACTATGTGTCGAAAAGATTTGATTTATTTAGATTTAATTAGATTTGATTTAAGTCTAGAATAAATTAGATTTGATTTAGTAACAAAAAGATATTTTGGGCTTTTGGCTTAGTTATAAATAGAGGGAACAACCCCTATTTTTGTAAGCAACTCAAGCAAGTTGTATTCACAGAATTTGCAGTTGCAAGTGAATAACAAAGTTTTCACAGTTTATGAGCAGAGAGAAACTCTGCAGAAATTATTTGTCTTGTCTTCTTTTCTTTGTTTGTCTCATAATTATATTGTCATTGTGGTAGAAATTCATCATAGACTTTGGTGGATTTCCAACATCTGGTATCAAGAGCTTTGTTTCGATTCATGGAAAGTGTCAATCAAGAACGATTGAAGAATTCACGATGACAAGTTATGGGAATGCAAACTATCCAGCAACCCTACAAATTATGAAAGTTGACAACTATGAGAATTGGTGCAAACAGATTAAAAATCTTATTAAGGTTTCAAGGTCTTTGGGACCTTGTAAAAGATGGAGTCGAAGCGCTTGGAGAAAACGCTTCAGAAGAAGAAAAGAAGAAATATACAGAATATGAGAAGCTGAGTTATAAAGCATTATTTATAATTCATCAATGTGTCAGCCCAGACAATTTCAAAAAAGTTAATGATTCAGAATCTGCAAAAGAAGTTTGGGAAATCCTTGAGAAGTCTTTTGGAGGCGCTGAGAAGGTGAAAGAAGTGAGGTTACAAACTCACAAAAGGACGTATGAACAGCTTCAGATGGAAGACAGTGAAAGCATATCTGATTTCTTCACTAGAGTTATAAAACTAGTAAATCAAATCAAGATATGTGGAGAAGCGTTAACAACAAGAGCTGTTGTTTCGAAGATCTTGAGATCTTTAGCTCCTAAGTTCGACCACATAGTGGTGGCGATAGAAGAGGGGAAAGACTTGTCGAAATTGACAAAGGAAGAGCTTCAAGGGACGCTTGAATCTCATGAACAAAGAATGAACGAAAGAGCTGCAGGCAAATCGAAGAGTGATGTGGTCTTGCAGGCACATTCAGCAAAAGAGACCAAAGGCAAAGGAAAGTGTTTCGACAAAGGTATAGGTGACTACAACAAATCGAATGGTAGAGGAAACCAAATCGAAGGAAACGTGTCGAATCAAAGAAGACCATACCAAGGCAACCAAAGAGGTGGTGTTGCAAATAAAGGAAGAGGTGGTGGTCGAAAACCTGATAAGAGTCACATTCAATGTTACAATTGTCAGAAGTATGGTCACTATTCGAGTGATTGTCCAGAAAAATGAAAGAATCAAGAAAGTGATGCAAAGCTTGCAAAACATGAAGAAGAAGAAGAGATGATGTTGATGGTCACAACAAAAGATGAAGATAGATTCAAGGACCAATGGTACTTGGATTCAGGATGTACATCACATATGTTTGGAAGGAAAGACTGATTTGTCAATATAAAGCCCTCAATGAAAAATATGGTAAAATTTACAATTGACAATACCCTAGCAGCTGAAGGTATTGGTGATGTTATGATTATGAGGAAAGATGGCAAGAGGTCAATAATTTCCAATGTGTTGTACATACCAGGCATGAAGAGCAATTTGCTCGGTATAGGGCAGTTGGTCGAAAAGAATTATAAAGTGTCAATCGAAGATAAGATGATGAGAGTCGTTGATGCAAATAGGAGATTAATCTTGAAGGCTCCTATGTCTCAGAATCGAACCTTCAAGATTGAACTAAATGTGATGGAGCACAAGTGCCTTTCGACTGCAGCTAGCAGAGATGAATGAATATGACATTATAGACTAGGCCATCTCAACTTCAGAGACATCAGAGATTTGAAGAGAAGAAATATGGTTTCAGGATTGCCTGAAATTGACATTCCAAATGAAGTATGTGAGGAATGTGTGCAGGCGAAGCAACACAAGAATAGCTTCAACAAGGATGCAGGAAGCAGATCGAAGGTTATTCTTGAAGTCATATACTCTGATGTATGTGGACCAATCCAGGTAGATTCGATGGGAGGTAACAAATACTTTGTTACATTCATAGATGATTTCAGTTGAAAGCTGTGGACTAATCTGATCAAGAAGAAAAGTGAAGTGATCGAAGTATTTGCCAAGTTTAAGTCTATGGTCGAAAGACAAAGTGGTCGAAAGCTCAAAGTTTTGAGAACTGATAGTGGTGGAGAATATGTGTCGAAAGACTTCGACAGGCTATGTGAAAAGGAAGGGATTATGCATGAGGTGGTGCCACCCTATACTCCACAACAAAATGGAATTGCAGAGAAGTATGTTGAAAGACAAGAATTTACCTAAAGAGTTTTGGGGTGAAGCTGTTTCGACTGCAACATATATTTTGAACAGATGTCCTACAAAGAAGCTAGAAGGAATTACTCTAGAAGAATGTTGGTCTGGTGAAGCCTAGCTTGAGTCATCTGAAGGTATTTGGATCTATTGCGCATAGACATGTGCCAGATCAGTTGAGAAGAAAACTTGATGACAAGTCAAGTCAAATGATTCTAGTTGGATATCATTCGACAGGAGGATACAAGTTGTTCGATCCAGAGAACAAGAAGATTATGATCAACATGGACGTGATCATATATGAGTTTAAAGAATGGGATTGGACTGAAAATGTCAAGAAAGATTCAGTGGGAATCCTTCTTGAAGAGCCAGAAGCTCAAGTCGAAAAAGAAGTTCGATAAGAGGAACCAATAGATATACCAAGTACAATCAGACCTCAAAGAACAAGACGCATGCCTGCAAGATTGCAAAATTGTGTGATTACATCAGATGATGTGATAAATGATGAAGGTGAGCTGG